AAAATGACTTAATTTTAACATTGCTTGCTCATTGCATTTCAGAAATGCAGCTCCTTAAAAAAGACACATGGATTCCTAGGAACAACGTTTCTTTTTCTCGGTATATACAGACAATAGAGAAATGTCAGAGTAGAGTGAATAAACTTCACNTTTCGAACGCGCGGAGAAATCCCGAATGGCTCTCCGGCATCGAGTGAGTCCGGAGNCGTTAATCTATTATTATTGATTTAATCCCATTATGTGTATGAGATTTGTTGAGATATAATCTCTCACAAATATTGAATATATTTCTCATCAAAATAATTTGAAATTCATTCATTACCTTTGTATCACTGACAAAATATGTAATAAATGTGAATAAGATGAATTGCTCGTATTTTTTTTTTTTTATTAAAGATCTAGTTATATAGAAATTCAAATAAATGATTCTCTTTCGCTCAAGACTTCATAATTCCTTCTCTCCCTCTCCTTTATGATCAACTAATTTACAAATTAAGACAATAAGAAGTTGTATGACCGAAAATAGAATAATCAAGCGGATGAGTGAATGCACAGGAGGTTTCATGTTGGATTTAAGATTGGGAACGCTCCCTGTTATCGACTGTTTCCATGGTAATAGATGAAAATTTCTTACCCACAGAGCCGGCCTTTCGTTTAGTTCATGCGTGCCACCGCCATGTAATTCTGATTGATCAGTTCCCATAAGCCTGAGCAATCTCCCCTATTATCTCTGTAAGGAACAGCCTAGCGAATATTGCTTATTCCTTGTTTCTATTCATATTCATTTGTTTTTCTGTTTGATATTTGTCATTCTCTCATGTTTATCATGTACAGAATTGATCAGTTTTAAAATTTTTGGAAATTTTGAGAAAATTCAGAGAGTTTTTAGAAATTTCTCGAAAATTGAAGAAAATTCTAGAAATTTCGGGAGATTTACAAAATTCAAGCGAACGCAAGAACTGAATCAATTTGGCGTGGACACGTCTATGTAGTGTTGTGTTGGGATGTGTGATGTGTCATGGGGTTCCACCACTACATATTACTGGTATGTGATGTTATTGCACGTTCCATCATCACAAAAACTCATCACACGCCAATTCATCACAGGAACGATTCATCACAAGAACAATTCATTACAGCATTATTTATCACAAAACAATTCATTACAACCGAATTTAATATGGCAAAAACTTCAAAAAAGCCACAACATATTTCCATTTTCAAATAACTACTCTCTATTTTCAAATGACAACTCACACACCGAGATGTGATCCGTTTATGATAACAAGTCCTCATCGTTTGTCCGTACATTTCAATGCTGGTCGAACGGTGATAACGAGGAAGCGCAAGAGATACGTTGATTATGATGCCCGTCTCTTTGGTGTTGTCATGGACTGGAATGAAGAAAGTGACATGCTGGAATACCTACGTGGCGCGGCTCATAACATAAGCCCCTGAACTTCTCATCCATGTCATTCAAAAAGAATCCCGGAAATAGACCATGGAAAAAAGAGACCAAGGGAAATTTTTAAGTTGGGTGGGTTTTAACACGTTTTGGGTGTGTGGGCTCTTTTTTCCTGGTCTATTTTTTCCGCCTACCATTCAAAACACAAACTCAGTGATTCATGAATTTATAATTTATTTATTTATTACAAAATGTGCCGCATTCAATGATCAAAAAGTGATGTCTATATGTGCTCGTGAATTGTGAATTTAAAAACAATGATTAATGATAAGATAATGCCGCTGTTTATATTCAGTATTTATAAGTGAAAGTGCATGTGAACTTGTTGATTTACATCCGAGCTTTAAAATTAATCCACACAAATTCAATTTAAAATTCGTCTGTGTATTTTCTGTTTTCGATAGGCTCCAATAAAACAAACATCTCGTTTCGTATTTACACAATAAAACTGGCTTTATTGCTCATTGATAAATTCACAAACAATCGCATTTGAAACTCAATAGCATGTTAAAAAGGCTAGTAATAAACTAAACCAGTAATAAAACTACGAAATGATGGAATAGAATGTGATGAAAAATATATGATGAAATGAAATGTGATGAATTGTCCAGTAATCAAATGGAATGATGAGTTGTACCGTAATATGTAGTGGTGATACCGTGTCATGGATCAGTTTCCGCCTAGACGTATCCACGTCAAAAATTTATCGGCTGTATCAAGATTACAGCCAATTGGGTTTTTATTGGGAAACATGGCGATGAGCATTGAAGTTGATCACTGGGAGGTCGCCATGACAGTTTGCACTCATGAATCTTTTTTATTGGGAACACCTCGCCATGGAAAACATATCACCCTCCCCCACGTGCTTGCCAGGGGGGACGGTGATCTGTTCTGCAAGGCTCGGGCATGTAATGTACTATTACAAATCCTCAAGTTTGTCTAAAATATGACAACATCGGAACTGCGAGTACAACAATAAAAAACAATACAGAAATGAATAAGTCGAAGAGGAACCACTACTGTCAGCTACAATGTGAGGGTTTGAACAAGTTTGAATGGGTAAACCATCGGTCGTCCATGTTATGAGGGCGATCACCATGCCACCATCGGTAAATAGCGGTTCCAATTCTGGTTAAGCGAGATCCTGGATAGGTGTGGCAGTTCTGAACATAGACATTTTTTAAAAACATTATTTTTTTTGTTTTATGATATTTCCATCCGATGTTAGAAAATCGACAAGAACGATCTTCACAAGGCTTCTTTTTAAAATGGCACAAAATACATTTTTATATAATATATACAATACTTTGTTTGACGTGTGATATACAATATTTTGTTTTTATTTTATGTAAAAATAAAATATTGTGTCACACGGTGATAAAAATATTATGTGACTCATGTGATTATAATCCTATAAGTGACATTCGTCAAATAATACTTTTTTGTCATTCTGGCAGTAAGGCAGTGATTCACGGACGCGTTCAACCGTTATGACAAAAAATATCGTTCTTCATACGGCCTAAAAAACTTTTCTAGTTCATTTGAGTGCAACCCTCGCCTTCGGCTCGGGCTGCAAACTAATATTTGCCAATTTTCTTCGGCCTAATGACGAATGCTAATTATCGCCTGATGACATAATGTACTATTACGTTATGAAAGAGTAACGATTTTTTTTAACCAGGTGATAACTAAGGCACCGCTGGAATGCATGTGTCGTCCATGCACAGGCATTGAAGAGTACTCAGTTATACCTCAAGAAATCGCCGGTTTCGCTGAAGAAGGACCATTGACCACTTCAGCACATTTCAGAAGATCTTCTGTACTTTAATAGAAAATGTGTCCACCTAGACATCCAATGTTCAATACGAAAATATGCAAGGATTAAACAAACGAAGAATTAATAAAAACAAATAAAAAATGTTGTAGTTCCACATAAATCATTCCCGCATTTATTTTACACTGAGCGTATGCAATAGAGCTCTTCGTGACTGTATTTATGTCATATTTGTTGAGCAGAATTAATAAACCCTCCAATGATGATTACTTACAATTAGTAAATTCAATATGTCGGAAAAAAAGAAGTTTTTTTCGTCTTCTCTTTTGCGCTTAGATTTTGTTATACGGCCAATGATGGCTATGAAAAGTTAATTTCAGAAGATGGATCGAAACGGTTGGAATAGTTTATGAAATTGAGAAATGTTTCCATTTCGATGTTCATGAGATGAGATGTCTAAATTTAAAAAATTGCCTATTTAGCCTCTGGCGTGAGCTCTTTTTTATTTTTTTAAATTATAGATATGATTTAATATAGAAGGTATTTGGGTTTTTGTCTATCGGGTGTCATAGTGTAATATATATATATATATATATATATATATATATATATATATATATATATNATATATATATATATATATATATATATATATATATATATATATATATATATATTAGAAATGAATAAAAAAAGCAGTGTGAAAATACACAACGTATTTTCAAATGGTTACTATTGGCTGTTTAGAAATTGACACGAATTGCACACTCAACACTGCCCATTCGTCACCAAGTATTACATCATCACCTTCACTTTTTCTTCACTATATTGCTATTTTTATTTACAGTATCCTAGCATCTTTTTTTCACAGTTATTTATCATCCTTCACACATTCGCCATACATCGGCCATTCAATTTCACTCTCCCCCTTCATTTTTTTAATGTAATTATTATTCTATAATATAGAATCTATATGATCATTCAACAACTTCAGTACCCTCGTGTAAATTACACTAGCATTTTTCAATATATTTTATTGTTATTTATTCATTTATTACCTAATGCGAAGGGGTATTTGTATGGAACGTCTTTGAGAATCAAACCAAGGAAAAAAAACAAAGATACTCATATGGACAATTAAATCTAGTCTGAAAAAAAACACCATGTGATCCCCCAATAGACTGCACTGCTTTCGTTCATTTGAGTTCTTTATAGCGTGTTTTCTCATCCTGGACGTATTTCATTGGAAAAAGTAACGTCAATGACGTCGGGATAGGAAGCAAAAATTAAATTAAATTCACATCATCGTTCGCTCAATTATTTTTTAATTATTTTTTTATATTTGTAGATTAACGGAGTGTAAAAAATGAACATACAATGTTCAGACATCCGCATCTCTCCGGGGTCTTTTTTTTGGATTTGCATAGTATTATACTCCAATAAAAACTTACAGACAAAAACGACCCGAGATACGAAATCTGCGAACACTTACAGCGATGTTTTATTCATTTAATTCTTAAAAATCTTGTTTCACTTTTTTGGATTTTCATATATTTTTCCGTCCATTTAGTCAGTAATAATTACAGTTCGCGATTTCATCCAGTGAATCTTTAGATTTACTTATGAAACTTGGGGGCGCGACCGAATCCATTTATTTACATGACAAATAAAAGATGATTATTTATGTACCTGGGCGCTTCATTTATCTGCAAATATCGCTTGCCATCGATCTTCCAGAATCAATATTTCAAATCTTAAGCCTTTTCATCTGTACGCCGGTTGAGAAATTACAAGGCAATCAAGGAGGAGAGAATAAAATAATTTTCAGTAATTACAAGATTTTTCATGCAAGCGAATGTTGAGGTTACGCAGCCGATTTCTTCAAAATTTTCATCTCTCCATTCGATTTGGGAAGCTTCATGTCATCGCCCCGACCAGCCGGGTGTCGATCAATTTCGCGATACGCCGTGACCGGATATTCACCCATGATCTTCTTCTGTGTATCTTCCTTTATGTAACTCTTCCGATTTATTGGACAAAACAATTCCATTGAAAAATCATAATTAATTGGATTTCCTTTTTTCATTAATAATATGCTATTTACACCAGTTATATGTGCACGTGAGTACTCTTCGTATCATCGGAGTATTCATCTTAATTATTCTTCATTTGCATTGGCAGAATGACGATGTGATTTTAGCGAACTTCATGAAGTGTGAGAGTTCTCGGACTCTCGACGTATACTATATATATACTCCTCACTTAAACGGCACAGTGACAATTTCTCGGTCATAAAAAAATTCACAGGAACAAACAACCATACATTCGTTTCCTCGGCATTCACACATTTCGCCATTTCTAATTAATCCTATTTTTTTTTTTCTCTATAAATAACTAGGGCTGTTTTGAAAAATAGTAACGCTTCGATAAAGCACAGTATTTCAATGTCCGTGATGAATGTTCTATCATCCCTGAATGTAATGCATTATTCAATACAATTTTGAATGTCTTCTGTAATGAGAATAACTTTTTTTATTCTCAATTTTTTTGGCTCAGTCGTAGAGTTCACCTAAGAAAGTATGATGGACTAATTAATTTCAATTGTTGAGGAGGAACCCTCACAATATCGTTTTTTTATATCAATGTATTGTATTTATTTTTTATAAATTGCTTGTCGTTATTGTTGCGATTGTTATCAATGATTGACCGTGCAAAAAAGCGTGGAGCTTATGTCAACGCGTCATTAAGTTTTTATACATGAGCACACATACAAAATAATATGAAATTTAAAATATATCATGTATGTACGCCCAATTATGTATCAATTTTATCCACATTTCATCGCCTTGTTTTCTCAGCTTCAAATTATACTTCGTATTCAATAGATAATAATAATAATTATAATAATAGTAATTATAGTAATAATTCATTAATTTAAATATTTATATTCATTATGTATAGCGTATCTCAAATACAACGATTTTCTCGTAATTACTCTCTCTCTCTCTCTCTCTCTCTCTCTCTCTCTCTCTCTCTCTCTCTCACATTCGATTTTTTTAACGTTTTATTATAATAACTCCATTTCGTTCGTTCTAACCCGTCTAAATCTTCGCTTTGCCTCGTCCTAGACTACAATACATACAACTCCGCATAAATCCCCACTTGTTACAATATTAGTCATATTTCAATGGTTTCACTTAATGTTTTATAATGTTGAAAAGTTTTCCTTGGAAAACTTTCTCAGCAATTTGGCCTCAAATTTGTTTGTTAATGAAGAGAAACGTTTTTCTTTATACTTTTTTGTTAGTTTAATGTTCAGGAAATTTCTTTCTAAAAAATATAAAGTCTTTTTTGTTTGTTTAGCACGAGTTCTCTTGAAGACACGAGTCAAGGAGACGAGTTGAGCATTTTCATGAAATGTCACATTGGATGCAACAACAAAAAAAACATCGACGGCTTGTATAACTTGTAGATTTGTAAGTAAATCGTATTTTGAAGAGAAAAAATACGTGGATCGATTTTTCTTGACTCGTTCCTGGGTATTTTTTTAATTCATTATAATCCATTGGAGCCACCAAATGTGCTGAGGCCTTCTCATGCCTCCTCGCTGGACTCATCGAGAGTTTCTCCAAGGCTAACGAAGAATGATGTGAGAGTTACAACCGCTACTGCATGGCCCATCATTTCTGCTGGGTCTGTGCATTTTTGCCACGAGAGGAAAGCATCATCTGAGATTATGCTACCTTCACATAAGGCATCGATTACGTTACCAAGGACTCCTATAAGAGAAAAATGGTGGTTATAGAAATTAAAAATTTTAGAATCAAGCAGAGGTTTGTTACATGTCTCATGAATTCACCTTGAGGGTGCTCCAATTTGTGAACATAGACTTGAATTGCGAACAAACACTGGAGCTCCAGGTGTGGCTCTGTGTCCACGTAGCGCGTTATTAAGGGTAATAAACTCTTGAAAATTTCACTATTAAGTTTCCAGGAAGCAGAGTTTGATCCTACAGCAGGTATCGGTTCTGAAAAAATTGTGACAAATATACTTATATATGAATCATGTTGAAAATCATCTAATTTAATATACTCATATGAAAATTGTGGCTTACCCATAGAAACTTCTAAAATAGCAGTGACCAGAACTCTAATAAATTGTGGCTGTTTGGACTTACCACCGACATTCGCCTGTAAAATAAATTAATATTCCATACACTGATCATGTTCAAGTGAAATGGAAAAATATCGCACAAAGATAATAACTCATATCAGCAGTACTTACCGAGATCCAACCGGTAATGTTATCAAAATGGCTGCCACGCATTAAGTTAACCAATTGGTCATGTATTTGCTCCAATGTTAATTCAGCACCCGAACATTTCTCAGTACCAATACAGTCAGACGTCAGGAATTCAAGTTTATATCTTTGAACAATATCGTCTGGATTTTCATGCGACGTATCAACGAGATCAGCCCATCGCAGTCCACTTTGGTCCCATTTATCAGCTACTACTTTGGGTCCTAGATCTTTCGCAAGCTTGCTCAATAGTTCGCCCATTAACTTACCACAGCTACCCATAGATTTGAGCACCGCTGTAGTTTTCTTCAACTCGGCCAGCGTATGAGCACCGAGCCTAATTATTTCCGCTGTAAGTATTTATTTAATCAAGTACTAATGTCATAATAAAGAAATTGATATTTTTTGTTCAATTTATACAATTTCTTCAGGCCTGTTGAGCTTTTACAAACCGTCATGGTTCATACGGTGTAAGAATAGTTTACATCATTTTCTTTGTACTGTGAATTACATAGTAAAAAAAAAGTAAAATAACCAGAAAATTTCATAAATTTATCAAGACTTACATAGAATTTCTGCAAAATATGTCCAACATTTGGGGATATCAATGACTAGGTCGTCGGCTATTTCCAAAATTTTTTCATATCTGCAAAAGAAATATAAATATATTTTTAAAGAGAAATTCCATAAATATAGTACATTTCTTTGTTAGGTGAGAGAATGTCAGTATCCTTTTGGCTGAACAACACAAAAATACTCTTGTATCTTTTCTCTAGTTATCGATATTATCATCATCTAATCAAAGAGTTGTATGGAAACGAAGTATTGAAAATAATTCATTCGCTTACTCAGATTGGAATAGTGACAGGGGAATCATATTATTGTTTATCATGTAAGCATAAAGAGCTGCGAATCGCTGCCTAAATGGACCAGGTTTCTCTAGTATTGAGTTCAATGTCTCCCGTACAAACAATGGATACGTGGAATTGTCAAAGTGCTCTTTCACCGTATCTACAGCATCCTGCAAATAAAATTATTATAAATTAGTCAAATTAGAAATATTTCAATTTGAGTGGTACAGTGTCCACTTCCCAGGCTAGTTGTCGGCGTAGAATAATTTTTGCACGTTCAAAACAAAAATTTAATCGACAGACAGAGACTAGGAAGTAGGTATTGCCTATTATAGCACACCAATGACTCAAGCATCTCCTTGGGTAACCAGAGATGGATCTAAGGAGCGTGCATGTTCAATTAATGATACTTGATCATTAGGATTGAATGAAAAAATGTATTAAAATCATGAATGTTTCCATTTTCCATTGAGTGAAAAACGAAAAGTGTGAATGGTAATAATGAAAGAAAAAATAAACAAAAATATACATGTAGATCGACATATATTTACCGTAATGAATGCATCGGTCTGAGGACCATTGCACATATCCAGGACAACTCTGATAATTTTATTCAATTGTTCCTCTGTTTTCGGGGGCTTACTACTGATAGGATTACTTGGCATCACCATTGCGGGAGGTGGTTTGTATTTCATCGATTGTGTGGGCATTGAGACGCTCTGACTACGAGATGCCTCCAGGAGCGAGCCTTCACGACTCGATGACATGCTACTGCTATTCACATGACCACCATTTCTTGAGCCTCGACCTTCTGCAAATTAAAATAATCAGTTTAGTTATTTTAGATTTTAAACAGCAATTTTAATTGATTTAGTGAATTTTTATTTCAGCATCCTTTTGGCTAAACAACAGCAAACTCAATCTTTGAGGCTTTTCAAGTTCTCGAAAAATTATCATCATTTTATTATAAAAAAAATTGATAAACACAAAAATTTAGATTCTCAACTCACCCCATCCTTTGTATTGATCAGATCTGCCGTACTCTCTCGCACCGGTGGATCTCGATCTGTAGTAATAATAAGATATATTGAATAGTAAAATACATTTTACAAATTGAAATAATTGTCATGATTCAATGGTATCAGTACAACATAATAATCATAGAAGTTTTAGAAGATTCAGAAACTCTAGTCTGAAAAAAATGTTTCATCATGAAATTTAATTTTGTTTTCCTTCCTAATACTAGTAATGATGTAAATACTAACCCTGGTAACTGAGGTGTTACTCGTTGCTTATCCTGTTCCAAGTTCTCCAGCGCAGCGTACTTATTGGGAGTGCCAAGTGTATTTGGTTTAGCAGCCGCAGCAGATCCACCAAACAAATATGCGCTTCTATTACCCAATTTGATTTCGTCCAGTGGGAGTGACTTCGCATTCAATTTTGAAGCCTCGATAGAATATGGCTGCCTATTTGTTTTTCCAAGTGTTGCAACGGTCCATCCATCCTCTGAGCCACCGCCACCACCACCACCACCACCACCACCTAGAGAGATGAAAACATATTTCAATAGAATTCAATGATGACGTGAAATATCTTTAAGGCCCGGGTGTACTAGCTTTCGAATGTTATCTGGATTTTTTTAATCTTTCGTAATCCAAAATTGTCAATTGAGTGGTACATCATGGAGAAATTCCCAAAAATTATGATAGAATGATTAAAAAAATAGAAAAATTTCTGAACTCTTTCAAAGAGCGTTTTTAATTAAGATTCAGAATGAGTTGAAAAAAGTGGAAATTACAAATATTTGATTCGCTGTGGCAAATTATCTATTAGCTGTAATTTTTCATGGTGGATAACAAAACCCGAACTCCTCATGGGAAGTGACAGCTAGGTATCGCAATTTTCAAAGCAGTGGTATATAGTCATCTGCCATTTTTGTGATAAAAGTGTGATTAAAAAATTCTCCAAAATATTACAACTTTTTTCAAAGAGCCTTTTCCGTAATAATTGTCTCTGTGCAGTGTTGGAAAAGATTTACGAAATCAGTCTTCTCCCTGCATGATATTGGGTGACAGGTCGCCATTTGTCACCGTAAATCAGATACATTTTTCAATTTCTTGTTATTCAACTCATTCTGAATATAAATTAAAAATGCCCTCTGAAAAAATGACGAATTTTTTCTACTTTTTTTGTTATTATTCATTCATAATTTTTCAAAACTTCTGCATGATGCAAGACTTAATTGACAATTTCAGATGACGAAAAATGACAAAAAAACATCAAGATAATGTTCAAAAGATAGTACACCCGAGCCTTAAGTTATCTCATAAAATTATCAGAATTTTTAGAAAATCACAGAAGATCAGAAACTTTAGTCTGGCATGACATAAAATTATCATCATGAAAAAAAAAATTTCTCCATTACGAAATTGGATAAAGACAATTTGTAAGAATTAATAAAGATGTGAAATAAACTTACGATTTCTCCTTCTGTCATTGTTCCGATCGTCCTTTCTTGGTGTATTCATAGGTGTACAATTATTCATTTGAATTTCTAATCGTTCTGACTCTGCCTCCTTCTGAATTTGATCCATAGTCTTCGGATTACTGTCATCCCTCCTAGGTATCCATTGACTAGCCCTCAAGTCGATAACATCTTGAATCATGAACCTAACTCTCGAACTGATTTTCTTACTCGATTTCTTACTAGACAATTCTGCTAATTGGTTGAAATATCCAGGGAAAACTGAAGGTTCGCTCTTAGGCTCCAATGTTTTACCAATTGTAGTTAATAATTTGCAAAGACACTCGAGATTTTCTTCGTCAGGTGTTGCAAGAAGATGTTTGACACATGTGTGCATAATTTTAGCAATAAGCATCTCTTGTTTATACAGTTCTCCAATAAATCGAATATTTCCAACAGATTTCATTCGTATCCTTCTGTCTTCTTCCGATAAATTAAACTGGAGCTCTTTCTTTTTCTCCGGATCAGTTGTATTTTCAATCTCCTGTACTTTAGCTGCTCTCGCTGATTCATCAACCATGTTTTTTTCAAATTCCATTTGACAGCGTGTAACCAATAATTTACGGAAGTCAACGTACACATCCACCTTTTTTCCAGTTTCATCAACTCGTTTTTCCCCTGTCGATACTTTCATACCACTCAATTCTTTACACATCAAGGCATAAGCAACTGAAAAACTTGGCTCATCCACAGCTTTCTCGAATACTAAATCAATAACCCCCTGTAACCTCTCTTGTGTATCAATCTCCAATGCTCGAACTTGATTAACTAATGTGTTAAATTTCTGTGGTGTCAGTTTATTTAATACACTTCTCACTTTTTTGTAAAGGGCCTGTGATTTGGCCTCTTCACCAGGCAACATTTCACTCTTTAACCTTGTTGGCTTCCATGCATTCTCAGTTTCTCGGAGTTTTACGTCCTCGCGTAACGAGAGCGATACATGAATCACATTTGGTTTAGGCGGTTTTTTGCTGCCTTGGTAACTCTTCTTATTCGGAGGAGGTGGCTGAAAAAGAATTAAAAATTACGTCATGTAATAAGAAATCTAGAGTACCATGTGTCATATGTTTTCTCAATTTATAATTCATCAGTTGTGAGGTTGTCTATGTCAACACAATTCAGTCCACTACTTTCATTTTTTAATGAAACATCATTGAAATTTTCCACAATCTTATAAAAGGCAGAAGAGTAGAGATCATAATGAAATATATATTTACCAGTTTAGCATTGAAAGAAGATTTGGCAAATCCAGGGAACAGAGTTTCGTGCGTTCTATTGCCTTTGTAAGCACTCAAATCAACGACATTTCTGATAGGCTGTCTCGTGCTATCCTTGAGGACAACTTCCAAGTCCAGTAGATTGGGAGGTCTAACTCGACTTTTTGGGTCTTCCTGAAGCTTCATCAGAAGATCTCTTCCATATCGCTTTTTTCCAGCAACATTTTTTGGACTCCACTGATCATCATCATATTGATACTTCAATTGCGGAGGTGCTTTAGCTTCCGATTGATTGGGTGGTTCATTTTCATTCTGTTTATCAATCACAGATGCAGTCTTCGTCTCACTGTGGGTACGAGGCAAACCAGATACTTTGGCATTTTCCTCGTTCTTTTGGGCAACAATAGCCGCAACCTCATTGACATCTGTCATGTTAGCATGATCAACTACGTCATTAGCACCTTTCTCTGGGACAATCAAGGACTTGTTGCTGCTTTCGGTTGGAGTTGTCTCTTTGCTAACATCTTTATGATTCTGAACATTTCTCTCTGGCTGCTGGAGCTCAGAACTCTCTCTAATTGTCTCAGAGTTAACTGTTTCCTGATCCAATTGAATCATGGATTCCAGCTCATTGTCCGGCTTTCCCTCAGGTGTTCCCTTGTCTTTAACTGAATTCTCATTGCTTGTTTCAATACTACTAACAGCCTTTATTGGCTGGGTTTCATGGAGATGATCGGGCTGGATTTTAGCATTAGTTTTCACTGGTTGGGGTACTGAGAAGGCATCCATGTCTGTACCCTCTTTCTCCGCACCTTTACGATTGAGATCACGGCCTTTAGGCTTCTTATTTTTTTGTTTTTGGGTACCTTTAACTGAAAAAGAGAAAAAGAGTTGTTGATGAGTGTTTCTTGAGTATATTCAATGACCTTAAAATTACACCAACGAAATTGATCTTCGAATTCCTTGAAAACAATCAAGAATTCTCACATTACTTTGAATTGTGGAAACACGACAAGTTCATATGATAGGTATTCAGTTATGAAAGTCTCATCAAGCTGGTCAAAAAAGAAAAAAAAGGATTAAAAAGGTATCGAAATTAAAAGCGAGTCTACTGGTTCCCCTTTGAGCAAGGGGATAATTTTAGAACGTCGTCGCTACGAGTTACTTTTTCTCTTTCTTTTTCTTGAAAAATTGAATCCATCTATACGTATACAAATGTTTGGAATTTGCCAGATAAAGGAAATTTAACTCAATGGGGAACGGTGACGTAATGTTCAGAGCATTTTCAACTTTTCGGGAGGATAATGATTAGTGGTTTTAACAGGTATTGTAAGGGGAAGAGGATGGTACCTGGATGGGATTTTTGGAATGAATGAGGTTGGAAGTGGATGGATGTACCATGATCTCGTGATCCACGTCGATTGCGACTTCTCGATCTTGAAGCACCGCTGATATGATGGCCGCTGCCATTTTTTGTCCTTTCACTCATTTTCATAAGCCTCAATTTGCAGCGATGATGCTCTGTTTCACAAAACTACTGGTAAAAACCTCCCCATTGGTTTTTTATTGGATGTTTAACTCGCGCGAATTTATTTCAATGCTATATTAAAATTCCTCGTAGAGAAGTTATTGGTTAGAAATTAAAAATGAGAAAGTAATGACAAGAGTTGAGGCTCTGTGAGTCTCGAGTTTCACGATGCTTGCGGGCAGCTGCACTGATTCAGAATTTATTTATAAAATCATCGGATCTTTGCCAACGTACATGTAGCTTCACTTTTACAAAGGCAACAATGCCGCTGTGATAAACATTAACATTAAGGTTTTTTGAAAATTCTTTTATATAATTCCTTAAAGACTTCACAATTATCCACTGACTGACTTTAGAAGAGAAGATTAAAATATTACAATCACTCCAGACTTCGCACCGAAAATTTAATGTTTGTATATTTGGGAATATTGAAAAAATATATAAAAACGGAGAATTGTCTCAATACAAAAAGGAATAATTAAGAAACGTTCAAGAATTGAAGTTAAGGGGGATGAAAAATTTTCAACGTCGGCGCGACTTTCGCGTGTCTATTTTAACTTACAAACTGGCGCAAACAGACGAGCAACGGGTATACAATTTCTTAAATTAGTTGCAACGGGTGTCATATGAGTGTTGTCTTCAGGAGCACGCGCACATGGTGATTATAATGATTTGTCTAACCTAGCCATCATAAAGTTACGCCGGTGTTGCTCCAAAATATTCCGGAATTTTCATTTTTTTTTTCAACTTTATCCAATTAAAACATTAGGGAAAATCGAAATAAACTGCGTCAATACACATAATGCAGTTGGTCATCTAGCTTACACGTGAAAACTGCGTAATTTCATACATGAAAGTAGGTTGAGTAAGATTTTACAAACCGGGTCGAGGTAGCAATTTGTGAGCAGATACCCTGTTTCCATTGAATTTGATATTTTTTCATTCTTATATCGGTTGATTTTCAAATTAATGTTCAGACGTATTCCCGGCGAACGAAACAATATTTTGAGCAAAGAAGAATAGAACGAAAAGTACTTGTCTGGAAACCAACAGGAAAGAAGGGGAGGAAAGTTTTTATGACTAACCAGTTTTCCTTCAATTAATGTGTGCATCAATTTGAATCTCAGACTCCTTCTTTTCCTACAGTTGAGATTAACAACCCGGAAACCAGAGGAGTAGACTGAATAGGGTGGAACAAAACGGCCTGTTTGTCTGTCTACCTTGACTCCCAGTGTGAACGACATACAAATAAATTTATGGACAGGGGGTAACTGGCGACACTCATATGAGTTCACGCCCATGACCTCGAACGCATGAATATGATGGAATTCGAAATGTGGAGAACATTGGTGTGATATTGGGTTTTACCTCTTCTCGATTTTTATCATGAAGTTCAAAATCACTCATTACTTTCTCTTTTCAAACTCTGTTGCCTTTCGAGAGAACATCTCCCAGGCCTTGGGGAATTATAGAATAAAATTGGAATTAATGTCCGAATAATTTTCAACTCATTGTAAAAGTTCAAAATTAAGTCACCATTGAAATTCATTTAAATTTCATCTTCATTCGGCTCAGATGGAACAATTCTTAAATATAGATAAATCACCAAATGAACCATTTATTAATCTGAAAAAATTCCCTAAAATAAACTATACTAATAATATATCCAGAATCCAGATCCGGGATTTTATTATGTTCATTCATGTTATAAAAAAAAAATTCTCAAATAATTAAAACCGAGTGAAAATATTCAGCGACCTGGACTCGTCCTTGAAAATGAGCGCAAATCATTTGAAGGACGATTCGAAGCGACAAAAAAGGGCGTTGGTGATTGAAGAAACGAGGTGAATGTATGCAAGACTCAACGCTGACAATCAACGACTCCATAAATGAGAACTGAATACAAAATATATACATACATACGCACATATTTGTATCTGGAATGCTACATTTTACATACATCTGGAAATGAGTTCCGGGTAAGAATACCCACATTGAGATCTCTCTTCACGGCCTCCATCATATTCCATTCTATTTTACCCAATCTCATTGTCATCATAAAAGATTTTTCAATTATTTCCACATTAATATCCCCTTCTCTCCTACTACCCCCTTCCTGCACTGACAAAAACAAAGGTTTCTGAGAAATACGTCTCTACTTATATCAAGAAACTTCTGACGTGAAAATTTTCAAGAGTAAAATATCTTGCACTAAGAAAATAAAAACTTTCGCCAAGTAGGTTTGTACTTGTCCTAAAGACAAGGACAATTTCTTGATGACAAGAAAGCAATTCCTCAAACCAAGTAAAATTGAATTAATTCGTTTAATCGTTTTTTAGTCTCAATTCTAAAATATTTCAATGCAAAAACCACTTTAATTGATTTGAGAACTCGTTTTCCTGATATGAAGAAATTGTCCTCATCTTTCGGACAAGTATAAAATTTCTTGGCGTAAGATTTTTTTTTTCTCAGTGTGAGATATTGTGCGCATGGTAATTTTCAAGCCACGAATTTCTTGATACAAGTAAAGAAGTACTTATTAAAAAACAGTTGCTTTCTCAGTGTATTATGCAAACATTTATGTGAGATTCAAGAGACAGAAAAACAAGAAATTAGGTCCTGAAAAGTTGATCACATCCTGAAACAATGTGAGGACCCATGCGCGGTCAATATGGAGGACGTTCTTTCATTTGTGAACTCAAAATGGCTACACTATTATAAAGACCATGTGTTTCTATCTCTCATCAATCAGCATATTTTTAGTGAAAGTAATCTTCATTTATGGTTGTGTAATTGAAGTTTATAAATTATTCCTCACACTAATTACAATTTAAAAGACGTTATTGTTCATTTGCATTGACGAATGGATGATTCTTGGAATTTGAAAGCACGTGGAAAAAACGTGGTGATATCCAGCGATATTAGCACGTGGTTGTACGGCATAAGTAAAATCGACCGGAAAAATAATTTTCCTTCATTCAATATTGTCTTAATTTACTTTTTCCTATTGATCAGTACACATCGATAATTATCCTCATATCAATAATTATCGTTGAGAGAGTTGCAAAATTATTATTTGATGTTCAATGGCTCCGGCTGTTTAGGACAGAGTCCACAACTCTAACGGCCGCGAGTCGAAAAAGAATACCACTCTAAAATATGGGTCACAATATTGCCCCGTTCACTTCCGTCCGCAGAGCTCACATTTATGATTTTGTTAAGTGCAATAAAATATGGAAATATGACTGACTGAATGATGAAGAAACGAATAAAAGTCTAGGAATACCGAGAAATAACTAAGGCGAGACTCATGGTAATTTGCTTATAAATTATACAAGTTCTTCGAAAACGGAAACGTGCACCCCTTAGAATTCCACAAGATGGTTGCTGTGACCACGTTGTCGTGAATTTCAATTGAGGTTATGTTCCCGGGAAGAAATCGTCTATTCTCATCATTCCTTCCATCTCAAATAACTTTGATTAATAAATTGATTTGAATTAAAAATACATACATACATAACGAGACGAGAACATCCTCTCAGGCAGCACTGAACTTTGCACTTCATTTCAATAAAACTTTCGACTGGGTAGAGATAGTACAAAAAATAACGATAAAATAAGTTCAACAAAAAACACTAAAAACTCAGTATTGAAACATACGAATAACAAACGATTTGGAAAAACTTTAATAAATGATTGCGTGGAAGGAGTGTGGCAGTATGTATAGGACTATTGAAAATCATACTCCGGAGTATTGAAAAATGACTACCGCAACAGTTACCGTGAATTGAATTAAAAATATAAAAATTGCTAAAACGTGATTTATTCCTTGCTTTTCTGTTAAAAAAAAAAGATCCAATAAAACGAGCAAGAGAGTTTATGAGAGTACTGAGAGTACAAAGACCAACCAGATAGACCAGCATGTGTTGGCTTCTAGAGGGCGATAAAATTACCGTGACAGTGGTTCTTCCCTCCTTTCCAATCTAAGAACATCGGCATCACCGACTGCCCCCCCCCCCCCCCCCCCCCNCCCCCCCCGGCCCGCCGACAAACCGACCGGGGCCACAGCGCCAAAATTCAGTACATAAGTGGCCAGACAATTTCCTTCCAATCTCATTGGAACCGATGTTAAAGCAATGGTGAAATATGAGAACCCGGAGATTGCCGAAGGAAGACCTCTGGCCAGTGCGCGTAATAACTCGGTTCTCCTCGACATTCTTCGTATTACTGACGTCATATTATTCGTGTTGGGTCTTATCCCTACTCTTCTTTCCTGCCGTATTTTACGTCACGTCTCGACCGTTTTTATATCTCGCGGTTTAACATGAGTCTAACGACTTCATCCCTTTATGCGCAATTCTTTTCACAATGAAAAAAGAATGAGATTATTTGAAATTCCTCACCATGTTTTTTCTTCCCCATTTTTAGGTTTTCTCTGGAAATAGTCCCTTTGATAACGATAATTTGACTTCCACGAGAGATTACACTTTCTGCTCACTACTTGGAGATTTCACATTTCATGAATTTAATGTTGATATGTTTAGTTTTCGAATGAATTGTTGAATTTTGTTGAGAAATCATTTAGACTATAGAATATAAAAATGGACATTGCGAGAGCTTTGGACTTGTCAAGACAATTCCGAACGTCACGAGGTCCACCTGGAGAGAATAAAATTAATCGGAGAAAAGTCCAGTCCACTGAACAAAAAACTCAACATAAGACAATAAATCGTCACTTGTTCCTGTTGTTTAAATAATTTCCTTTTGTTTCTGTTCACACTTATTTCTTTATATTGTATTTTTCAATTCAGTCGTTTTCTATCCTGTAATATTTGACTTTTTTTTTGCGGTAAGAAAATTGAGGTTAACTTGGAGAAACTTGAACGAGCTGTACGGAACAGCGTTGTGGCACGTGCCTACGCCGGAAACCAACTCAACCACTGGGCTTCAATGTGGTTGACCAAAAGGTAAACAAAACTGCGACACACCGACAACGAAGGACACAAAAAGGACCAATCAGAGGCATTTTAAACCAGTCGGATGGTCCTCAGTAAAACGGCAAACAGTAAATATCAAGTACATACAATGGACGTAATGTAGAATATTTCATTCCATGACACGATCCTTGACACCAAACGCCCCAACCGCACATCTATTTACTCACTTAACCGTCCTCTCCTTATCGAGAATTTTATCAATACATTATATTGCGTATAAAGAGAGCTATCGAGAGTACATAGTTCAAATTTAAAATAAGAAAAATTTGGACAACAATGTTTGAAGAGCAGAAATTAAACATTTTCTCATCTCTGGATGAAAACAAAATGAGTAAAAGGTTTTTTGGCAGTTGGTTTGGAAAAAAATGAGGAAAGGTAGTAGCGAACTTGATCTTTCACATAATAATTATTAATGAGGGAATGAAATTATTTGAAAGATGCGGAGGAATTTCATGGTTGTTTTTAAGATTTAATTGTTCATTATGCACGAATTTACATAGAACTTCGAAGATTTTACCATTTTGCCTACATCACTGACTAGTGAACAAGACAAGAAAACTTCCAATATCGCCGATGTGTATCAAGAATAACTTCAACAATTGATTAACTACAAAAGTAAACGATGAAATTCCTCCACGGTTCTCCGATAGTCCGTAAGGTGGGGGTTTTTGCATATATTTTAGGTAAAAAAAAAATTGACTGGATTCGAGTTTTTCGGACCGCTTACTCTGAATACTGAAGTCTCCGAGTCAAATTCTTGCCAGTTTTTTTGTTATTACCAAATTATCAATCTTTCCTACCAGAAAAAAAAATTACGGCCGTTGTAAGCACATGTGTAAGGGTCGTTTATTTTCTCTCCCGTGGTCAGGGTTGGGCTTGTAAATTACGTTGGTAAATTATACCGTTTTTTACCGACGTAATTTACATAAATTACCTCGACGGGTATTTTTTACATTACTTCGAAAAGCTTGCAATTTTCGATTACTAGAATGTTTTATTTTATTCTGACTGACGAAGACGCAGTATTGGACACATAAATATCATAAATAATAGTATATTATGTCTCGAGGATAGATAAACTAGGAATTTTAACTTCACGTTGTTCGGTTAGAAGGCGGTTTTCGGTACTTGGGGCATAAAATATTATTTCATCACCTGGTGACATAATGTACAATTACATCACGCGGTACGATTTACGGCATTTTAAGAAACTGAAAAACATGAGCCTCATACCTCATACAGAGGAAATTTCACAAGGGTCAAACGTTGCAAAACACCAAAGTCACAGGTCATCTCCATTGTGAGAAAGTCAATCTGAATATGTATTAAGCTTTATTGGATTCTCCACTTTATTATTTGGAGCTCCGGAAAAGCCCAGTTGGAACTGCAAAGAACCATTTTGTTCTGAAGAGTTCTGATTTTGTTCTGAAGCTACCAAAGACAATTGAATTAGTTTTGTCATTTAAGAATGCCGAATGAAACAAGTTAAAGTAGTTCTATCCTTCGGCCGGGCTACGCTGTACTTTTGGATATTTTGGATAGTTTTTAAATTTTTCAACTAAATTGCATGGAAAAAATTTGAAAAAATTCATACCCAGTCAGTATTATCTAAATTAAATTTCGCAAAATATTGATATTTTTTCAAACATTTCCCTCTCATAAATAAATAATAAAACTTGTTTGCAAAACGGCGGATTATTTTTTATGAGGTGTCAAAAAAATTCTTGATTTTTTCACATCTAATGAAAAAAAATTCAGATTTTAATCTTTGATTACAGTGGAAAAGTTGATTTTCACATAAGACACTGGGTTAAATCCTGATTTTTAAACATTTCTTCTTTGAAAAACGAAAACGATAATTAAATTGAGAAAAAAAATTAGTATTTCGAATCCAATCGAATTTTCTGCAATTTTTTTGCAGTTTTCAATAATCTTTGAATTCACCGTAAGGGTAGAGCTACTTTAATATAAAGACAAAAGATGATGACACGACGAATTCAATAGAGATCAATAAATAATGAGATTGACCCTTGTAAAATTCATCCCTTACACGAGGGGTGTCGAGCCGTATGATCCTGGTAAGGTATGAACCTCGTGACTTTTATAACCCGCGCCAGGTATAATCATCGCGACGCTTCACGGTTTACGATAAAAGGTAATGTCGGCTGGTTTTTTACATTTATTACGTAAATTACGGGTTTTTTACAATATCATGTAAAAAACTGCGGTTATTGACAGATGTCCAACCCTGCTTATTAGATATGAAGATCTATTTGAAGATCTTTTTCTGCAAACGTCAGGCTTATAATTTTTGAAGGGTATTTTTTTTCTGAATATTCAAGATGTTCTACAAAAGATCAGTCTTCATGAATTTTTGCCTTCACTCGACCGTTTGTTGTTCATCATAATTTATAATTTTTTATTCAACAAAATGTCGAGTGGAGGGAACAATTATAAGGAAAGGACTGTCTTGAATATTCAGAAAAAAATATTTCCCCATTGAATGTTTTGTTCATTGACTGAACGTTAAAAATTCCATTTCTCCGTGAGAAATTGACCTAAGTTAAAATTAATTTAACCAGTAAAATGAAATGGATGCTCAACAATGAGAATTGTCAGAACAATTATGTATGAGGGAAAAATAACGTGATCAAGTATCTATTCAAATGCAATAAATAAAGATTTCTCTGATAGGTAAATGAATAGTTGAAGTGTTCAAATTAAATTAGTTTAAGTTGAATCTTGTGTTCCAGTGACTCAATCATTGAGCATAAAAAGCATATATAAGAAATGAAAAAAAATGGAATATCGCAAGAAAAACTCACCATCCGGAGATTTTTGTTCAGCTTTAATTTCCTCACTCTTATCAACCGCCTCCCCATTCTTTTGCAAGTGTTGGTGTTCTTCAGTCTGATTGTTAGTTGGGCTCGGTGTGTTATCCTTGGAACCGGGACTCGTCTCGCCGAGTTCTCTCTCGTGCTCCCTAATAGGTTCAGAAGTTGGAGTACTAAGTGCAGGGATAATCACAGCAGGAGAATCAATGGCAGTTGTCGCAGTCAACATGACCTGAGCTGCACTCAGCTGTAACTGATGGGGTTTCCGCCTTGGTGGTGAACTTAATGCCGCCTTGGTCGATGAAAAGGACTCTTTGGCTGCTTGTGGGGCAGTGTTTGCAGATTGGGGAACAACTAAACCTGTTGCTACAGCGGTCGTTGAGATTTTTGCTTCAGAATCAGTTGCTGGAGGAATTGGAGAGGACTGTTCGGGAGGAATATTGTCTTTATTAATAATAGGAGGTGGTATTCGGTGTTCATCTTGATGAATTATCTGCTGTTTTGTATCATTACGTGGCCACTCTTTGGCTACTGACGCCCCTGACTTTGAATCAACCTTAACTTGACACGTTTCTTGGGCAGCTAAATGACTATCAGGATTTGAGGATCGAGGAACATTAGATTGTACAGGTGTTATGGGAACATTATTGCACTGGGTATTGATAGGTTCTTTGTTAGTATTTATTTGGGGTTTGACGTTTGTTATATTCGGTGTTGTTGTCGATGATGACGACGGTGTATGATTATGCTCCTGAACATTCGCCGATGGTGGATTATCTCCACTTTCGCTAGCGGCTTTTGCTACGCGCGATGCAAATTCGGCTGCTATTGCCGAATTCTGAAACAATCATCATTGCTGTGTGATAGATCACGATGGTTTTTTGTGCCGAAAAGTTTATCGGCTACTCGGTAACTAAAAAACTATCAATGCTGCTGACTGAAATACAATATGAAAATGCATTACGATAGAATGTCGATTGAATAAAAAAAATTTTTTTAAAATATTTCTTCAGTTTTTTCACCGAAGACGGGAGCATTATCAGTAATATACTTATGATTGTAATGAAATAAAATACCAATAAAGTACTTGAAGAGATTAAAAGTCAATGGATTTTTGAGGGTGGTGCTTTTAGTTTGGTTCTTTCAATTTTTCACATTCAACAATGTACTCCAACCACAAATTATAGCGAATCAGATTCTCCAAGTAGTGAATGAGAGTGGTTGAGCACACAAATATGCCTTAACTCTTTTATACTTGTAGTGGTATTTACCGTGTCACTCACCTGCGGTTGAGGAGTCTCACGGGGTTTGATATCTTCAGGCGCTGCGGCATTTCTGTATATCTCACCAGCTACATTTTCACCTGTATCTGGATTCACTATATCCATTATGGCATGTGCCCGCGTCGACACTTTTTGATACGTATTCACAGGAGTCTGTGCACTACGATTGTGACCAGGATAGGCTAGAAAGGAAGCGAAACTTAGTTTTCATATCAGTTTCAATTTCACTATTATATCAGACTTGTTATCCAATGAAGAGAAAATCGAAATGACGTCAAGTATTGAACTAATGTTTCACTTTAAATTTGTATCACATGTCATTCTATTAAGGCCCGGTTGCACCAAGTCCTGTTATTCAAATAAACCCCAGGGTAAAATTTATCGTAGGGGTCATAATTTTTCAATATTTGACTCGAAGAATAATTATTTATTTATCCTGTAGCCTCATTTGAATTAACACGGATTTAACCTTGGAATTAAATTTTATTTTTTGTTCCTGGCATAAATTTGAGATACTCTCCCGGGTAAAATAATTCATTGCACATCCAAATTTACTTTTATTATCTGACGTTTTCGTTACCCGGAGTTGGTGCAACCGGGCCTAAGTCTCAGGGGGCTTTGCATGTATCTAACCGCTGTAAAGAGGAGAACGGGGAAGAGAAGGTTACGACCGATTGCATTCCCAGGTTTGCGCTCTTTCCTCTTTTTGTATTGATCGACTGAAAAGCGCGCGACGTTTGGAATAATTCAGGGAAGAGGTGCGGATATAACCATAACGAATAGAACTCCGGAAAGAGAGGTATTTTGTATCTATTTGTTGAGTCATAAGAAAAGAATTGATTTTCAAAATTAGCCTCCTCTTTTTCAGTTATCGTGAAATGTTAGTCGTCTCCGACCTATTCTGCCCGGACTATGTTTAAAACCAATTTCATCATCCATTTCCCCATATTTATACAATTATTATCACAGTAATAATAAATCGATGTGATCTGAGAGAAAAACAGCCGAGTTCTCAAACAAGTCTTACTTGTGCCAAATAAATCGTTTGTTAAAAATGATCAAAAAAGGTTTTTTTTGTGCCGAACATGCGAAGCCTGTGCCGAGATTGAAAAATTTTATTGCAAAAACGACCTTAGTCTCTTCAGAAAAATTGTATTCTTTGTGCAAGAAATGTAATTTCTAGCAGTACTTCTTCGTTATTAGATGCTCCTATACACATTTTGCGTGCAGCAAATGCTCGTTTTACATGAAATTTGTTTCATATAAAATTTCGTTGTTGTTGAAAGCAGAGCAATGATTCATGTTTGAGACTTTCAAATTCAAACCAAACAATAATTTTTTTGGTAATTTTCAACTAATGATTTTGTTGGCCCAAACAAGACTTGTTTGAGGACTTGGTCATTTTTCTTTCAGTGTGGAATGTAAATTTGCGATTTTTAATTTTTTCATTTCATTCTCCGTTAACGTATGGCAAATGCAATGAAGTGAGTTCAGGAGACCTTCAAATCGAATTTTATCATTCAAAATATTTAGAATATTCTCAATTATTCCCCGTAAGAATGTAAGTAGTGAGATGCATTAGGAATAAATTAAAAAATTGATACCCTACTTTAGGAAAAAGTATCAAGTTTCTCGACAAAATAACATTTCTCGTTAATGTTGAAATATTACTTTTTGAAGAACAAAAAATTTACAAGATGTGTTTCGAGACTGAATTCCAAGAGCAAATACTTTGGATATACTCATAAACATTGTTTCTTATGGGTATATGATTTCGTAGCAAAAGTTCAATATTTTTGGAAAAATTTCAAAAATCGAATAAGCTCACTTGGTTGTTGCAGTGACATCGCCATTGGAGGTATCGGTTGTGGTGGCGGTTGTTGTTGCTGTAATGCACCTTGTGGTACACCAGCCGTTCCTTGGGCACCGACCAGCGGGCCTCCTACATTTTGACCACCTCCGCTCACAGGATTAGCACTTGCTCTATTCAAATTCATCGACGAGTTGGGTGGCGTATGAGTTTGCTGATAAAAGTCTAGGAAAGAGACATCGATAGTTAGCTTTAAACTATTGGCAAATTCATAGATATCGATGAATGTGCTACAAAAATACAATGAAATTGCAGATGACTAAAAAAAGCGTAAAAGGGCTCTAGATCGTTGATATTATTTACAAAGTTTATGGAGGTTTTAAAACGAGACCAATTTGTAATTCGCGAAACGCTCGTATCTCTTAATCCAATGGCACTGAAACAGTAGGAAAACATCTCAGTACGAAAAAAATTTATCAGACACGTAGGTGACAACTACCATCAAAATTGGGATTAATTTTAAACCAAAATATGCTTAATTTTAGAAAAAACATTTTCTAAAATCTAGAATTTTTTTAAATTTTTGAGAGGGAATTTTGCAAAAAGGGGGTTATGATATCCGGGTGGTGCTTGTAAAGAAGGGGGGTTTTGCAAAGAGGGTTGTTTTATGAAAGGGTGAGTTATCGTTGGAGATTTTCAAAAATATCTTCGAAACTAAGGGAGAATTCATAACCAAAAAAATGAGTCGGTGAGTTTTTCAAAAATATCTAAGAAACTAAGGGAGATGGCGAATTTTTACTGGAAAAGTGGGGAGGGGGTTTTATTTTTTTTTCAATGTGTCCAAGTTAGAAATTTTCAAAATTGCAAAAATGTCCACAATTTTCAAGAAATTTTGAAAATTTTTAACTTGGATAAATTGAAAACAAAAAATTGAAATCCCCCCTTTTTTTCATTAAAAATTCGCTATCTCCCTTAGTTTCGGAGATATTTTTGAAAAACTCGCCGACTCAATTTTTTTGGTTGTGAATTCTCCATGCACCCCCTCCCCCCGCCAAATATTCGTAAAAATTCGCCATCTCCCTTAGTTTCGGAGATATTTTTGAAAAACTCACCGACTCAATTTCTTTGGTTGTGAATTCCCAATTCACCCCCCCCCCCCCTCCCACCAAAGTAGGATTCGAGGTGGTGGTAGATTGGGAAGGTCTACGCGAGGCAACGGTTGCAAACTAGTAATTAGTTTATTGTCGTGATATGAGTATGTACAGAATGAGACGATAGTATGAATGTATATACAGGTGAGGTGGAGATGTCCGCCGAGTGGCGAGAGCCACACGACTACTAAGTGGGAGCGATTGCGACACCTGGGACGTGTGTATGTTCCTCAGGTGTGTGTGTATGGGAGCGGTGCGATACGCATCTCAGTGTGGATGTAGCGAGCCGCTACACCCCCCCCCCCGTAGCGTTTCACCTGCAGATACATACATCTACGCGTTGACCGCGGATACAGAGAAAAAGATGATTGACGGGCGAATGAAACTGCCGTGCTGTCTCACTCGCTCCCTATTGTGTCACGCGTATATTTCCGATTAATTCCATCTACGGAATTGGGCTGTCTTGCGAATTGAGAAACACCTCAACGAGGCAGTCCGGCACCGACCGCCGAATACTCAGGAGTGAACACCTACTCCTTACATTATCTATCTTCACTTTTTGTATATAGCCTACGTCTTGTAAATATACAGTGATTGTTTTATAACCATTGCATTTGTTAGTGAATTGTTACATCCCTCAACAGAGAACAAGCTCTTCATGTGAAATCGAACTGTATCATCGCGAATACACTACGAAATGAAAAAAAAACCCTTGTATTCTTTGATTATTCACTTTTCCACATCGGCTTTGATGGAGGGGTTGGATTGTCCCTGACGGATTCTTTGATATGAAAGTTCGGTTGGACACACCTTTGCCAACCAAATTTCATCGATCGTTCTGGCAGGGAATGGATGAACCTCACAAAAACGAGCGGGGTGGGGCTCGTATTAACCTCATCTTGAATAATTATTTGATACATGAGGACAGTTGATGCGCTTCATAAACTGACTTGATGAGCATTTTGGACCTAATAAAAACGAGTATGATGGGTCTTGACCTCATCTCAAATCATTATTTAATAGATAAGGGCAGTTAATGCGCACTAATGTCTGTTCCAAAATCTAATGTCATGCCCGTGAGGGTAGTTTGGAGAGCTCATTTCGAGACAGAAACCCTAATGACATTTTCTCTGAAGCTTTGTTCATGAGTTATTGAACAAACAAAGACCGTCAATCAAATGATTTCCCTATAGAGAAATCATATTATCTTCTCCCGTTAGTAAGGTTTTGCGAAGGCATTAAATGTTCAATCGCTTCCGATGAATTTCATCTCTTGATATCGGATTAGAAAAGAGATATCAATTTTTCACGTGATTTCGATTTGTAGGGTCATATCGCTTGTTGGATCCAAATGGCTCTTACGTCACAGTTAATTTCATCGCGATTCTTCTTATCCCGTTTTGATGTATCATAATGATCAATTTGTGCATTTGTACATTGAAGTTGTCGTCTGTAAATGAGGCCCTGACCTACTCATACGCGGCTGACGTTGTATTTTAGGACACCCTGTACATTTTCTTATGCTTTGCAGAAGAGAATCAATATATCATTTGAACAAAACGAAATTATTGGAAATTCAGAGAATATTGACGTCAGCTACGTAATTCATTAACTTCATTCTTTTCGAGAGGGAAAAGGACAAACATTTATCAGCTACACACAATCTGAGAAAGTGGTAAAATTCACATTATCTAATAATTTTATGAATCACACTCTGATATTATCATTCTTTTCATGGAAAGGTGTAGCATTGAAGACATTTATTCAAAAGGAAATGCGTTGACGGAAAAATGTACGAAATAATCAAGAAGAAAAATTCAAAAAACAACAAAGAAAACGAAATAAATTCAACCAACGACGTTTACGTCGCAAAAAGAGAGAAACTAAGAGGAGAAGACAATCGCGGTTGAAACGCGTCCAAAAATGTCGGATGAGAAAGAGAAGACTATGTACCGACAATGACGAGGATGGGAATGAAAATTACTTAGGATCAATGAATATCCGATGTACTTATTATGAAGCTAAACACTTCCAATATGAAATCTTGACCAATGGAAAAACAACTTTCAATGATTGCTGTAGTCACGGAGAGGTTTCCCCACCTTCATTTGAAAATTTCCCAAATATACTTCGTTCTCTGTTCAATCGAACTTATGTATATTCATCTGAATTCTTCCATAACGTTCGGAGTTATAATAGCACATTATCGTTCGCTTCATTCAACGCAAATCTAACGAATTTCCAAGGGAGATGTCCTGGACTTTATTGTTTTAAAATTAAAGGTCATATCTATTATCAAATGAACACAGCCTTAAATCCAGAGCCGAATACCAATGCAAGCTACGGACAGTTGTTCATATTGGATCCTTCAATAGCCAATGAACAAAGATTGGATAATTTTTCTGGATTGAATTTGGAGATTTTGAATTTATTGGATAGTATCAGAGAAGAGAATGATCATGTACGAGCATATACTATGATGAAAGAAGAAATTGAAAAACTGAGGAATCAGTCATCTCAGATAGATCACAATGATACCATCCCTGAAGTAACTATGTCTTTCATTTCAAAATTTGGATTAGATGCTGGCCGATATAATGCACAAAGGTCAAATGAAGTTGCTGCAATCTTCACAACAACTGCAGATGGAAACATATCAGAAACATATGTAACAATTCGGAATCGTTCGATAAAAGAATTAAAAAACATTTCATCGATGGATCCGAATGTAGAGCCGTGGATATATCCGCTTTTTCATCCTCGAGGAAATTTAGGCTGGAATAAAGATCTAATGCGCAATGGAACTTCGAAACGTATTTCACGATCAGCTTATATTAAAAATCTAATAGCCATACGTGATAAGTTCAATCCATACCTCCGTGGTGGAAGATTATTTCAACAATGGATCGTCGATAATTATGTCAAAGTTGAGAGGAATAGAATAGAATTCTGCCGGAATAACCAAGAAAAACTACATGCAAGTACTTATCAAGGAGTGATGGATGCCGTTAAAGGACAAGCTGAAGCTGTTGATGGAATAGGAAAAATAACAATATTACCATCCACATTGACGGGATCTCCCAGAAATATGGCGCAAAATTATCAAGATTCCATGGCCATTATAAGAAAATACGGAAAACCAGACATATTTATCACAATGCAATCCGAATTGGCGGGAGATACGAGAAAATTTAGAACCTGAGGAGCAACCATGTGATCATCCAGAAATAGTTGCCAAAGTTTTCTGTGGTAAAGTTGCAGCATTATTGAACATGATAACCAAGAAAAATATTTTTGGAAAAACAGTAGCTCATGTCGCTACTGTAGAATTCCAAAAGAAAGGTCTTCCACATTCATTTATTGGTTACATTAGGAAGGAATTATAAAATTACTTGCCCAGAAGCAGTAGAATCGATTCATCTCAGCAGAGATACCGGATCCTAAAAAACAGCCGATATTATTCCAAATTGTGATGCAGAATATGATTCATGGACCATGTGGTGATTGGTGTTACAAAAACGGTAAATGTTCGAAGAAATTTCATAAAGCATTCCAAGAAAAAACGGTTATGGATGAAGATGAATATCCCACCTATCGGAGACGTGATACTGGGAAATATTACGGTCGTCCAAATAATTATACAGTCGATAATCGTTTCGTCGTGCCATATAGCCCTAAACCTCTATATACCTTCAACTGTCATTGTAATGTAAAACTCATTTGCAGTGTGAAATCAGTGAAATATTTATTCAAGTATATTTACAAAGGACATGACTGCAAATATGATGATTCAAGGCACGGCTACTCATGTAAATGAAATCATACATGATGAAATTAGGGAACATATCGAGGCTCAATATGTAGGACCTGTAGAAGCATGCTGGCGAGTTTTGAGTAAAAAATTACAGTATAAAAGTCACTCAATTGTCAGATTACCTATCCATTTACGAAATCAACAAAATCGGACAGTAAACCCAGGAGCAGAAGATATAACAGAAGATGATATACTAGAACAAAAAAATATGCTCTTAGATTATTTTTCTCTTAATCTACGTGATGAGAATGCACGAAAATATCTTTATGGTGATATACCAGCACATTATACGTTGGTGAGAAAAAAAATTAACAATGAATATCTTGGCCACTGGACTAAAAGGAAGAAATGTTTCAAAACTATGGGGAGAATCTATTCTGTGAGTCCTTCACAAGTGGAATTATATCATTTACGATTGTTATTACCAACCCTACGAGGCGCCAAATCCTTCAATGAACTGAGAACAAGTCATGGCCAATTATATTCAACATTCACAGAAGCATGTATAATATTAGGACTGATTGCTGATGATCATGAATGGAATCGTGCTATGCATGAAGGGGAAATTTGGATGATGCCGTATAAACTACGTCGATTATTCACACGTATTTTGATCCATTGTCAACCGTTGCATCCTGACCAACTATGGGATGAATTTAAGAATGCCCTTTCAGAGGACTTTTCAAGAAAAATGGACCCAATACAAGTACAACAGACAGCGTTGAGGGAAATTGAAAAATTACTTGAAGGAGGAAAAATTTACAAAGGGATTTTTCATCAATGCCATCCAGCATAGAAGAAGAGAAAAGCATTTCACAGACAATGAATTTTGAACGTATTCTACAAACAGCATTGTTATTATATGAAAGATTAAATGGAGATCAAAGGCACATCACTGATAATATCTTAAATTGTTTGGACAATGAACTACAGACAACAAATGAATACTTCTATATCGACGGACCGGGTGGATCTGGAAAAACATATACGTACATTACATTATGGCATCTCATAACTGGACGGGGAAAAAATGTCAGCATGGCCTTCACTGGAATCGCTGCAACCTTATTACCACATGGGAAGGCTGTACACAAGACTTTAGGATTGACTGTACCAGTGTATTCTGATTCCAACTCTACAATAAAACGGGGAACAAAAGATGCCACTAAACTCAAGAACACAGATATATTTACATGGGATGAAGCTCCGATGGCACCCCGTTATGCGTTAGAACGAATGCATAGACTTTTGCAAGATTTAATAAAAAACACTTTGTTATTTGGTGGAAAAATTATTGTCCCAGGAGGAGATTTTCGACTACTTCTTCCCGTTAATGTAGGCGGTACACGTGGAGAAACAATCAATCCTATCGTAAAAAGGAGAAAGGAAATCGATCTCGAAATATCTCGCAACTCGAATCACTGTCATCGTAAGACTGAAAACGACGCGCCACCACGGCCGTTTTCAGCAAAGCTTTAAAATCGTGAGCTTTCGGTCAAATTGGGGATATTCCGCGGCCAGCTCACATTCGTTCGGTATCCGACAAAACAACGGAAAGTGGCATCGCGACCGTTTAAGCTCTTTCAAATAATAAAAGTAATCCAGTGAAAACAATGGAATCGCCAGTCATTAAATTCACCACGAGCAAGGCCATCGACCATTTTAATGCAGGAGCCACATTAATGTGAGTATTTTTGGGGATTATCCTTGGAATTATCAAAATTTCTTTTATCGAAGCACCTAACCTCTCATTGCCACGTGCTCAAGAAAGAGGATTATTGTTTTTTTCTCCCCGGGAAAATAACGGGATATGTTGACAGCATTGAAGGCTTGAAAGAACTGCCTAAATCACCATCAAAATGGATCTACAATGCATATTGAATAATAATGATCACAAGAGATTCGAGTCATCTTTTGGGGAGATGACGCAATGAAATACAACAATGAAATCGTTATGTATCAGGTACTGAATTAATCATTTTCAGTCAGATGAAAACAATAACAATAACAGAAAAAAAATAACTAGATGAAAAAAATTACAACAGTTTTACAACAAAAGTTCATTTGTTGTCACGTTTGTTTTTCCTTCGCTTTAGCTTTTGATCATCTCCAACAATTCATCGTAAAAACTCAGAATTTTTAAAATCATTAACTCTATTTTCAACCCCCATACATGAAAATTGTATCCACTGAGATGAAAAAAAAAGAAAAAAAAATTTTCAACAAAAATTAATTTGTAATTACTTTTTTTTGTTATCTTTTGCTTTGGCTTTCGATTTGCTACGAAATTTATTTTTTAAACTCGAAGATTTTCAAATCATTAATCGTATTTTTAACCCCCAGAAATGAAAATTGAATAAAATTTAAAAGGATACAAAAATTATCGATTCTTTTTCACAGATCTTAAAGATCACTGGTGGCGTAATCAAAGAAGCTAATCCTATTTATCGTCGATCAGGCGACACTGTGAGTAACAAAGAATTTCAATTCAGTCGTGGAAGCATCCTGGAAGTCCTTGGCATGTTTGATGTTGCCAACGGTGCTTCTGATGACAAGAACAAAGTGGTCACATTCAAACCCATTGAAATGAGAGATGTGTGCAATGCTCGCGAACCAGTAATGGTTTCCGGATGGTTGAAGGAATATTTTACAAGCATAACTACATCGAACGGGGCCAGCTACAGATGTGGTATGATCTGCACTGACGTTCACAGAATGACGATACATGTAACGACATTCGTACCCAAAGCTGAACTGTTGGAAGGGATGAAAATTAATGTCAAAGGGACAATTGACCGTCGAGGAGATGCATTCGTTCTCAACGCAACATCTATGGATCAAATTACAGCTGTTCCTTCCGCTCCAAGAATGAGCGAGGATGGCATGGATGACGCTGTTGAGTCACCTCCCTTAACTTCCAATAGAGATGCCGATGGATATCCTCCAAACGGAAACGACAAGGTAGCTAAAATGGTTCATTGATTGCTGCAATAATATTTCAATGCCTTTAAATCTTATCCATTATTTCTTCAAACAACGAATTTATATATATTTTTTTCTTTCAGAAACAAAAAGTCGAGTAGCCTGAAGACGTCCTATTTTCCATCCACATTGTATTCTTTTATTATCAACCATTATGTTTTATACAATGTCCATTAAGAAATGGTAGAATGTTGAAAATTAGAGCAGATAATAAGTCACATTTCATTCCTAATTCGCTTCTCATTCCGTAGGACGGATGTTCTTTATATTTTAATTATTTTTCGTGGCAACAGAACTGTTAAATTTAAGTCTTAGATATATCTGTATCTAATTTTTCATCAAATATATTACCAAATGTTGATATTTTTAAACTGCTTCGAAAAAAAATTTCTTTAAGATATTTACGTCTAGAAGATTAAAAAGATTGAATGATAGAGACATTACTCATAAAAACTATGTAATTTTGTAATGCAATGAAAATTTGCAGTTTTTTTCTTGAGAATTTCTCACAGTTCATTGCCAAAAAATACCTTAATTTTTGTTTGTTTTTTTTTCTTTGTAAACAACATAAAAACTGCAGATTTTCATAATTTCATTCTTGCAGTAAAAACAATTATTTCATTGACATGAGTCTGCCCAGTGGTTCTTCGTGATATTGTTGAACAATTCCAGTAATGGACAATTCATAAGATATTTAGATTTAGAAGATTCACTAATGACTCAATGTTATTTGATCAGAAACCCTCTGTCATGTGGCTGTTGTAAAAAATAAGATATTTATTTTTAGACGATAGAACAGATCGCAAATGAAAATATTATTCATAAAAAGTATTAAGTAAGCATGTTTTTATGTATGAAAATTTGCATTTTTTTTTCTTGAGAATTTCTCACAATTGATTGGGAGAAAATGAGCCAATTTTTGTTTTTTTGTTCTTCTTATTGTTTTCGTTGGTCAACAAGATAAAAACTACAAATTTTCATCGTTCTGTTTTTGTAATGAAGAAAAAAGTCAATTTATTGAGATAAATCTGCCGATATGTGTTGATAACATTAAGGATGTATTATACCTTTTCCCCAATTTTTATGGTGTTTATAAATTTTTTTCAAACTTTTCGTTGGATTGACGCAAAACAGTTTAACATTTTTGCGTTTCATCCGTTTTCAGTGACTAACGAAGTGTCATCATCATGCAATTATTTTTCCAAGTTTTTCCAAAGCTTTTCGAAAAATTTGTGAAACTTTAGCAAAAAATTCGAAAAATGTTCACATGGTGATGAAACTTCGTAAATTGTTGAAAAATAATGAACTGCAAAAACATTATATTTTTCCAGACAATCCCATTAAAAGTTCTGAGAAATATAAGAAAAGCGTCAAGATTGGTTAAAAAAGTAATACATCCTTAAACAACTACGATTATAGAAAATAACTAGAGCAGTTAGAAACAAAAATGTGGTTTCCAACACTAGATGAATTTTTCTAATAAAAAAAGGTGTCAAAAAGATCTCAAAGAGAACAGACTTGAAAGGCTTCTTCTTTTTCCTCTAACAAAATATTGTATTCTGAAATAGATAAAAATTTGCAGTTTGTTCATTATTTCATGACACGATCATACGAGAACTGCAAATTTTCATTATTTCCTTTGTTTTGCTACACACGCGCTTTTTCATCTGCTCACTTGGTGACGTATAAGTTTCAGTCTTACAATGATAGTGATCTATTTCGAGATTGATTTCCTTTCTCCTTTTTATAGTATAGTTTCTACATGTATAGATCCAACGTATCGACAGTCCGATCAGTATAACCTTCTATAATTAAAATAACGCGTACATTCATTTTCGTATAACATTTATAGTCATTGCTGAGTGATAAATTGATTTAGTAAAACGAGTCAATCGAACTGTATATCAGTCTTCGGTGAAAAATTCCCTGTGACACAAAATGTGGTTGACAATATAGTGAATTGACGTTATGGTAAGTAGGCTCTCCATTGAGTAGATAATTTCATTACTCTTCTTGCTTTTCTTCTCGGAAAGAGGATTCGGCAAAATTAACTCCAAGAAGTGAAATATTAAATGCGTACTAAGCTTCAGAAATTGCCTAAATTTTTCATGAGTGTTTGTTTTCAGAGCAGTCAGTTTTCTATTCATCATTTGAGGTTAAGAAGCCATAACTCATAAACTTCTACAGTAAAAACAATTTCCCTCAACAAAACAACGGAATCAACATTGTGAGTATACCACTCAATGCTTCATACTAAAGTAAATCGTAATTGAGTGAAACATACTATTATTGTTCTTATTCTTTTTATTTTCAGCAGTGTCCAATCACACTGGAGTTGGGGGAAGTTGCAGAATATACCGATTTACAATTTACCGATAAATACCGATAAATTACCAGTAAACGGAATCAACGTTGTGAGTATATCTCTCAATGCTTCATTTACTGAACTAAATCGTAGCTAAGTGAAACATAGTATTATACCCTGGCAACTTAGTATCCTGGCTGTTACGAGGATGTTACGAGGATGGGGCGAGGATGTTATTTTAATGTGAAAAAGGCCGAAAATGACATAAATACGGATCCAAAAATAGTTAAAAAGTTGAAAGATAATCGATTTGTTTCCATTCATACAGTTTATTGTGTTATTTTCTAATAATTAGCAGAAATGGGTGAAAGTGTAATTATGCCAATACAATCCCCGATTAACGAATGCCGCGAGATGGCGTTAGGGTTAAATGACCGCCCTGGTTGGCCGGGTTAACAGCCCTGCGCTTGCTGCCGCAGCAGTCGCAGGTCGCAGGCCGGCCGTCTGCCGAACGAGTCGACCGAAGGGTGATGCGGCGCATTTTGTTATTTTATTTTAGCTGAAAAAATGTTGATATTTTCAATTATTCAATGCTGATGACTGTCAGGGTGGAAAGTAGACGCATGTATCCAGAGGGATGAAAATTGAGGCGGCGAGGGGGAGGGGTCTGAGATTACATTTTTATAAAATTTATACCTCCCAGCACAAACACTGATGTATTATAATTTTTTAAACAATGAATTCCGGGGAAAATGCATGAGTATGCGGTTTCTCCGGGAGGTTGAAGACAGCCGCATGGATCCGGAGGGGTAAATTTTATAAAAATGTAATATCAGAACCCTCGCCCTCACTCCCCTAAATTTTCCTCCCTTCGGATATATGCGGGTGTCTTCAACTCCCACAGAAAAACCCAGTCTTATGCATTTTCTTCGAAATTCATAGCTCCGTGAAGTGGGCACCCCACTTGGTTGGATTTGAACCAAAATTTCATAATTGATAGATTTTGAGCTACTCGTGATAGTAGTAACGTTTTTCTTGTTTGTAGTTTGAAATTTAGCGTCCAATTCGTTTTTGAAATACAGTTAGGAACTATTCCATAGTTAGAGCTGGAGTGACATTGGATTCTCGTCTGCAATCGTTTGTAGTTGATTGTAGTTCTGAAAATTTCACGATCGGAATCGTAATAAACGTTCAATCGATTTTTTTTAACAGTTAGGAACTATTTCATAGTTGTATTTGAAATGACGTGGGATTCTTAGCTGCAATCGTTTGTAGTTGATTGTAGTTTTGGAATTTCCGCGATCGGAAATCAAATGAGCGTCCAATCGATTTTTGGAGACCAAGTAGGANACCCCCCTAGACGAATGTTTATAATTAATTGTATTTTTGGAATTTTTCCAATCCAAACTCAAATGAGCATCTAATCGATTTTTGGAGCCCAATCAGGAACTTGCTCACAGCTATAGCCAAAATTAGCTCGGATCCCTGTCTAAAATGGTTTGTAGTTGTTTGTAGTACTCACAGATTTTCAATCCACCGAGAAAAAGGGTGGTGTAGAATTGAGATATGTAGAGGAATTCGTTTGTAGGTGTTTCTAACAGTGAAAAAAATCAAAAAGAAAAGAAGATCTTTACGAACCAACGTTCATACTTAATTGTAGTTTTGGAATTTTTCCAATCCAAACTCAAACGAGCATCCAATCGATTTTTGGAGCCCAAGTAGGAACTTGTTGACAGATATAGCGAAAATGAACTCGGATTCCTGTCTAAAATGGTTTGTAGTCATTTGTAGTACTCACAGATTTTCAATGCACCGAGAAGAAAGGGTGGTGTAGAGTTGAGATATGTAGAAGTATTCGTTTGTAGGTGTTCCTAACAGTGAAAAAAATCAATAAGAAAAGAAGATCTTTATGAACCAATGCGCATACTTAATTGTGGTTTAGGAATTTGTCCAATCCGAACTGAAATGAGCGTTCAATCCGTTTTTAAAATACAGTTAGGAACTATTTCATAGTTACAGCCGGAGTGACATTGGCTTCTCTGC